ACTGACGCATGAGGTAGACCAGGCCAGCACAGATCAGCTGACTCTCAGCCTTGTAACACTTGAGCTTTAATAAAAAAATGTTTGTTGATTAGAGCCACAGGGTTGTGGGATGGTTTGTGATGCAACATTAATATGCCAATATATAAGTGAAACAACATCCAATAAATATTTGTTAATAAAGATACATGTGTATTACTGTGATCACCATAAGCCCAAGGAGGGTTATAGGCACACCCTTGTGGAATTCGTAAAAGGAAGGAATATTAATCCACATTCTTGGTGCCAGTTCTTTGTTCAAAATGCTATAAAGCTTTAAATAATTAAAGAACCACCCTTTAAGTGCTTTAGTTTTGAATAGTAACTAAAAAGAAAGATGGGCCTACCCTTTTCTAAGTTTATTTTTTGCATTCTTCTAGTTCCACTGAGTCAGCACTCCTGATGACAGTGTTAAAAAGACTCCTGACAGTTTTTTTTAAAATATGTTAAAAACACAACATCTATTTAAACTTCTTTTCTTCTTATTATAATTTCACCTTTTTACTAGAGGTAAGCAAAAGGAAGAATAAATATTAAAACAATGGCATCTAATCTATTTAGTATTGGGATTGTGCATTTTCTTTCTTTGCTTTATTTCCACAACTTCCATCTCTCTGCCAAGCTACGCATAGGTATTTTATTTCACCATAATTACATTCTTTTTGCTAAGTCTGAGAAACTTCCATTCTGCATTATCCCTTCATTTCATTCTCAAAGTATCAAATGCCCCAGAATTCTCTGGAAAGAGCACTAGAAATACTTAGCATAAGGGTTTTAGAGAAAAAGGAAAGATACCCAACTTGCTTGAAACAATAACATTTTTAAAAATCTCATCTTTCAGCAACATCAAAGATTATGTATATATCACGGAAACAGAATGGATTGAAAAAATGACCTGTATTGGCAGCAAACCCTTCCACACCCACTTCCCTCTTCGACCTGTGATATGTATTTGATAATCCACCAAAATTTTATAATCCACAAAATTATTTGAAATGATGTTGTTGTTGTTAGGTACTGTAGAGTTGGTTTTGACACATAGCCTATGTACAAAAGAACAAAACACTGCCCGGTCCTGCAGTAACCTCACAATATTTGCTATGTTAGAGTCCATCATTGCAGCCATTGTATCAATCCATCTCATTAAGGGTTTTCCCTTTTTTCACTGACTGCTACTTTACCAAGAATGATATCCTTCTCCAGCAACTGCTCCCTTCTGACAACATGACCTAACTCTGTGAGACAAAGTCTGGCCATTCTCACTTCTAAGGAGCATTCCAGCTGTATTTCTTCCAAGACAGATTTGTTCATTCATCTGGCAGTCCATGCTATTTTCAGTATTCTTCACCAACACCACAATTCAAATTAATCAATTCTTTTGAGGTCTTTCTTATTCATTGTCCAGCTTTAACATGAATCTGAGGCAATTGAAAATACAGTGGTTTGGGTCAGGCACATCTTAGCCTTCAAAGTGACATCTTTGCTCTTTAACACCTTCAAGAGGGCTTTTACAGCAAATTTGCCCAGTGCAATATGACATCTGATTTCTAGACTGCTTGCTTCCATGGGTGTTGATATTGAATCAAAGTAAAATGAAATCCCTGACAACTTCAATCTTTTCTCCATTTATTATGATATTGCTTATTGGTCCACTTGTGAGGATTTTCATTTTCTTTATGTTGAGGTGTAATCCATACTGAAGCCTAGAGTCTTTGATCTTCATCAGTAAGTGCTTCAAGTCATCTTCACCTTCAGCAAGGAAGGTTATGTCATCTGCATATCACAGGTTGTTAGTAAGTCTTCCTCCAATCCTGATGCCATATTCTTCTTCATATAGTCCAGCTTCTTGAATAATTTGTTCAGCAAACTGAATAAGTATGGTGAGTATACAACCCTGACAAACACCTTCCTGATTTTAACACATTCAGTATTCCCTTGTTCTATTCAAAAGATAGCCTCTTGGTCTATGTACAGATTCCTCATGTACACAGGAACAATTAGGTGTTCTGGAATTCCCATTCTTCACAATGTTCTGGATTTCCCATTCTTCACAATGTTATCCATAATTTGTTATGATCCACACAGCTGAGTGCCTTTGCATAGTCAGGAAAACAGAGGTAAACATCTTTCTGGTATTCTTTGTTTTCAGCCAAGATCTATCTGACATCAGCAGTGATATCCCTTGTTGCACATCATCTTCTGAATCCAATTTGAATTTATGGCAGTTCCCTGTTGATATACTGCTGCAACCATTTTTTAATTATTTTCAGCAAAATTCTACTTGTGTGTGACATTAATGACTTTTTTGAAAATTTCTGCATATTTTTGCATCACATTTCTTTCCAAAGAAATGTACCTAGAAAAAAAATTCTGCATGGAAATACAGCAAGGCATATGAAATTATTAAATGAAGTATGCTTACTAAAGGAGCTCTGGTAGCATAGTGCCTAAGGCACTTGACTGCTCACCAGAAGGCTGGCGGTTCAAACCCACCAGCCACTCCTCAGAAGGAAGGTTGGGCAATCCTACTTCCGTAGTGATACTGCCTCGGAAACCCAAGGAGGGGTGGCTAAGAGTCGGGGCCGACTCGACGGCAAACAACAACAACAACATGCTTACTAAAGTGGAAAATGTTGGATATGTAACAATATTACCTTTTGTATATGAATCAAACTTGCCTCTGCCATCTTTAATACATATGGAAGGCTTTTAAATATTTGTCTGGAATAGACTCTTGCACTCCAGAGCCAGAATGTCCCTTGCCTAAAAGATGGGACACAGACAGACTTCCCATGGCATACTCTTGCCTCAGAGTTCCAGAAGAAATTGACATGATCGTAGTGTCCACCTCTCCTATTCTAACCCTATCCAAGGCCTGATGACCCGATTCCTATGCCTAATCTCTCTCTCTCTCTCTCACACACTCACACACACACACATATATATTTTTTCCTTCCCTATTTGGGAGGCACAGGAGTGGTAGAAATCTTTAGTCAAGACTTCATTTTTGAAAAGGAACAAATCCTCTGGGTTAGCCCTCTCATTTATCAGTTCATCGATGTACTAATAGGATGGTAGAGAAAGGTAAATTAAGTGGAAAAGGAGAAGGTAATTGGAAAAAAAGACATAGCTATGAAAAAATTGGAGAATGGAAAGTCTGTTTAACTAGCCTAGCACAAACAAGGGTGCCTCTATGTTCGGAAGGTCCCAGGAATATAAAGCAGAGTATGAGAGAGCAAAGCAGATGTTCAGTGTTCTCAGAGAACCCTACTTCCTGTCTAAGGCATATGAATACTGCCCATGGTAAATGGTGACTTTTTTTTTAAATCTTATTTTCAGATGGAGATTTTATTACTTTGTGCCATCCTGTGCCTAACTGGGACTCTCCCCATGCAAATAAAATGTTTTTTCTTTATTTATGAAATAAAACGAAGTCCATGGGGGCCTTTCTAATTTATTACATAGTATGCCTAAGCTTGTAAAGATTGTTCTACTATCTAAAGTCTTTGTAGCTCATTTTATTACTTAATGATAGTATTCATACACATACACACCTGTTTTCTGTGTGCATGGTTGCCACCTTTGTTATATTGCAACATTTTAGAGGCCAGACACTATGGCTTAACCTTCTTGCATTGGCCAGTATCATGTCAAAACATGTGAGAGAACAATAAGTACTTAAACATTCCTTTCTAAGTTGTATACATTGGTAGGTTGGTCAACCTCATGTAAATTACCACTAAAAACCAATTAGCTATGGGGAAAACAAAATCTGTTAAGTAAAATCCCCACAGAAGGTATCTACCAAATACAGCTTAGAGTGTTTCCTTATGCCTTCAAGGACTGTCTTAAATACCACCTCCTTCAAAAAGTCTTTCCTAGCCAATGGTGTGCTAAATAGTTTTAGAAAATTGTTCTATGGGGGGAAAAAAAGGCCCTGATTTGTACCATTTGTCAATTTCTATGGTATAAATGTTCCCACCACAACTCATTTAAGTTTTCAACATAGATGTGATGTCACTGAACTTGGAGTAAGGAAGAGATGTGCCCATCAGCTCTCACTGGCCAGTATAGGTGGGCTGGCTCCAGCACCACATTGCTGCTAACTCTGCTGCCAGAACTCATCCCTATTTCTCAATCCCATAACACTGTTTTTAGTTTCTGTTGAAGAATACATCTAATTCTGCCTGGCTAGTCTATCTTTTCCACTTCAACTATAAGTTTGTTTAAAGAGAATTTTATTTATCCACCACATAGCCTTTCACAGAAAGACAAATTAAATATATGTATTTATATAAATATACATAACCTTTCAAATATGTGTAGCCTTTCCATTGCTTTCTTTAATCCTCAGGTGCTTTGAATCTCCCATTTGATAAAGCCCCTCACCATGTGGGACAGGGACTGACTACTGTCATTTCCAGTTTTTGACTGAACACATTCCTTAGCCTCCCTCGCAGTGAACAGTAGCCACGCAACTGAGGTCTGGCCAATACAACTTAAGAAGAAGACTTCTGTGGCAGCTTCTGATCAAATAGGTTAAAAAGCCATGGGTACATATCCTTTGTCTCTTTGTTATCTTTCTTCCTTCATTGCAGCCTAGAATGTGGGCCTGATGGCTAATGTGGGAACAGCCATTTTTTTCCAAGTAGCAACCTTGGAAATGGAAGGCACTCTTAGTGGATCAATTAGACAGAAGGGCCCTGATGCCCTGAAGTCTCTGTGAAGCAGAGCTAAATCTTTTGCCTACCTCTGGCTTTTTTCCTTAAAGAAAAATAGCTTTCTATCTTGTTTTAGCTACAATCATTGCAGTTCTCCAATTACTGCTGAACTTTATCTTCAAGGATACAGTATAGGACAACATATGAAGGATTTGCAACTCTAAAGAATAATACAAGCTATTATGTCTTGCTTCAAGAATGATCTACAATTTCTTTATGATACAATTGCATAAGGCTTCTTACTTGTCTCTCCAAAAGTTGTGACCCCAATGTCCACACACATCTTCAATCCCAGTCTTCACATGATCAAAAAACTAAAAAAGAAAAACAGGCTAAAAGGTTAATTTTTGCCTGAATTCATTAATTTTCACTCTATTTATATCATGCCTAAACTCCAAAAGCTCCTGATAGTTTTTTTTTTTTTATGTTTGTTTTTTAATGAAAGTAATAAAACAACAATTCATCTTTAGATGGATGAGATGTTTGTCATTTCATTATTAGGCAATTCTTGGACTATTTTGCTTATCATTATGAGAAAATTCATAATTATGGAAGATATGAACTGAGACAATACTTTTCCAGTAGAAAAATTTTCAAGTTAAAGGAAGTAACAAGAGAAGACTCTTCATCTTTCTATTTATGTTGGAGTTTTGCAGGCTAATTCACAGCAGCTACGGTGCTACTATGTTCATTCCGCACTCCTCCATATGCCCCCCTCCTCCCTCCCTCTTATCTTCTGCCATTTCCCTGTTCTTCAGGAAGTGAGCAACTTGGTATCTAGTTGTTCAACTGAATCAATTTTTTCTTTTCTTTTCGTTTATCATTTAAATAGTTACACTAAGTTAAAACCTACCCGGCAGTGAATTTCTTCACTGACAGCTTGCTGTTTCTTATTTGACCTCTTAACATCAAGAAACTCCACGAGTGGTCGGATAGTTATTCCCTGTGTAGAAAAAATAGGTGCATTGTTCCATAAAATAAAAAAAAAAAAAATTAATTAATCAAGAATCACATTTCTTCTCCTACTATTTGCCAACTATCAAAGATAATTCTGCTTCCAAAATTTAAAATGTGATTTTGTTAAGTTTTTCTTCCTCTTCAGTAGCTGGCAGATTTCCAGAAGACTATGTCCCAGTATCTGCTATCAGAAACAAAACAATGAACAAACTGGAAGAAATTGAAAATAATTCTAAGAAATAAAAAAGTGTTATCAAGTTTAGAAGAATCATCCACTCATTATACTATTTAAAAAGAAAAGAAAAAAACCTTCACTGATTCATTCATTTATGTATTTAAAAAAAAAAAAATTCAGCATCTACTGCACACATGTCCAGGACTTTAGCATTTGAGACACAAAGATGAATAGTTAAGGATATTATCTTTAGGAGCTTGTAATTTTATAAAGACATGGACACATCCAAAGGCACTTAAACTAGTAAATGAGGAATGAGAAAGATTCAGAGGGAGTAGGCCAAAGAAGGCTTCATGAAAAGGGAACACTGGAGATGAGTCTTAAAGAATGCAGGAAACTATCTCAGCAGACATCACAACACAGTAAAGGATCAGTAGTGAGAAACAGCATGGAGTGGGTCTGAACGGGTTTGGGGGTGAACTTGAGCTATGCTTGAGCCCACTGTTGCAGCACTGTTTCAGTCCACTTTGTTGAGACTATTTCTCATTCTCACTGACCCTCTACTTTACTAAGCATGATATCCTTCAACAAGTATTGGTCCCTACTGACAAAATGACCAAAGTACAAGAGGAAAAGTCTGGGCACCCTCACTAAGGAGCATTCTGCCTGTGTACTTCATGCAAGACAGATTTGTTTGTTCTTCTAGCAGTGTATGGTACATTCAGTATACTTCACCAACACTGTATTCAAATGCATCTTCCTTTTTCCTTGCCCAGCTCTCACATGCATATGAGGCTGTTGAAAACACCATGGCTTGGGTCAGGAGCACCTTAGTCTTCAAAGTGACATCGTTATTCTTTAACACTTTAAAGAGATCTTTTGCAGCAGATTTGCCCTATGAAATACTTCATTTGATTTCTCAACTGCTGCTTCCATGGGCATTGATTATGGATCCAAGTAAAATGAAATCCTTGACAACTTCAATCTTTTCTCTTTATCAAGATGTTGCTTATTGGCCCAGTTGTGAGGAATTTTTGTATTCTTTATGTTGAGGTGTAATCCACACTGAAGGCTGGAGTTATAGCTCTACATCAGTAAGTGCTTCAAGTGCTCTTCACTTTCAGCGAGCAAAGTTATGTCATCTGAATATTACAGGTTGTTAATGTGTCTTCCTCCAATTCTGATGCTGTGTTCTTTTTCATATAGTCCAGAGTCTCAGATTATTTGCTTAGCATACAGATTTAATAGCTATGATGAAAGGATACAACCCCGACACACACCTTTCTTGATATTAAACCATGCAGTATTCTGCTGTTTTGTTCAAATGACCACCTCCTGGACTATGTACAGGTTTCTCATGAGCACAATGTGTTCTGGAATTCTCATTCTTTGCAGTTATATCCATAATTTTTAATGATCTGAATAGTCAAATGTATTTGCATTGTCAATAAAACATGGGTAAACATCGCTCTGGTATTCTCTGCTTTCAGCCAAGAGCCATTTGACCTCATCAATAACATCCTTTGTTCCACATCCTCTTCTGAATCTGACTTGAATTTCTAGCAGTTCCCTCTCTATGTATTTCTGCAACCAATTTTTAATTATTTTTGGCAAACTTTTACTTTCATGTGATATTAATGTTATGGTTCAATAATTTATGCATTCTGTTGGGTCACTTTTTTGGGGGAATGGGCACATATATGGATCTCTTCCAGTCACTCAGGAACTCTGGTGTCACTGTTCTGGTGTCACTGTAGACTGCTACCCCAAAGGTCACCAGCCACTCTACAGGAGCAGTAGGTTTGGTTTTCCCATGAGTTGACTTAGTAACTGTCTTCCAAATCTCTTGGCACAGACAGATGAGCACTTCCAGTGTTGCATCTGTTTGTTGAAACATACCAATTTGTGGGCTGTCAATTCCTGGAACTATATTTTTCATCAGTGCCTTCAGTGCAGCTTGGACATTTCTCTTCAATATCATCAGTTCTTGATCATATGCTACCTCCTGAAATGGTTGAATGGTAACCAATTCTATTTTGGTACAATGACTCTGTATTCCTTCCATCTTATTTTGATGCTTCCTGTATCATTCAATATTTTGCCCATAGAATCCTTCAATATTACAATTCAAGACTTGAAATTTTTCTTCAGTTCCTTCAGCTTGAGAAATGCTGAATGTCTTCTTCCCTTTTCATTTTCTAACTCCAGGTCTTTACATAGATCATCATAATACTTTACTTTGTCTTCTCAAGCCACCATTTAAATCTTCTGTCCAGCTCTTTTATTTCAGCATTTCTTCCAATTGCTTTAGCTACTCTACATTCAAGAGCAAGTTTCAGAGTCTCTTCTGACATCCATTTTGGTCTTTTCTTCCTTTCATTTTTATTTTTTTTAACTACTGTTTGCTTTTTTCAGTTATGATATTCTTGATGTCATCCCACAACTTGCCTGATCTTTGCTCACTGGTGTTCAATGGATCAAGTCTATTCTTCAGATGATTTGTAAATTCAAGTGGGATATAATCATGGCTGTATTTTGGCTCTCATGGACTTCTTTAATTTTCTTCAGGTTCAAGTTGAACTTGCATATCAGCAATTAATGTCTAGTCCACTGTCAGTTCCTGGCCTTGTTTTGACTGAAGATGTTCAGCTTTTCCATTGCCTCTTTTCACAGATGTAGTTGATCTGATTCCTGTACATTCCATCTGGTAAGGTCCATGTCTATAGTCACTATTTATGTTGTTGAAAACAGGTATTTGCAATGAATAAGTTATTGGTTGTGCAAAGTTCTATCAGATTATCTGTCCTTTCAATCACCAAGGCCATATTTCCCAACTACTGATGCTTCTTCTTTGTTTCCTACTTTTGCATTCTAATTATCAGTAATTACCAGTGCATCTTGATTGCATTTTGATCAATTTCAGACTACAAAAGATGGTAAAACTCTTCAGTTTCTTTTAGTTTGGCTTTAGTGGTTGGTGCATAAATGTGAATAATAGTCATATTCATCGGTCTCCCTTGTAGGCATATGGATATTATCCTATCACTGACAGCACTGTACTTCAAGAAAGATCTTGAAATATTCTTTTTGACTATCAATATGAAGACATTCCTTTTCAATTTGTCATTCCTGGCATAGTAGACCATATGACTGAATGATCCAAAATGACCAATACCAGTCCACTTCACCTCACTAATGCCTAGGATATTGATCTTTATATATTCCATTTCATTTTTTAATAATTTCCAATTTTCCTAGATTCATACTTTGTACATTCTATGTTCTAATTATTAATGGATATTTGCAGCTGTTTTTTCTTATTGGGAGTCATGCCACATCAGCAGGAAGCATCACAAGAAGATGAAAGGTATATATAGAGTCACTGTACCAAAAAGAATTGGTCAGTGTTCAGCCATTTCAAGAGGTAGCATATAATCAAGAATCGATGGTATTGAAGGAAGAAGTCCAAGCTGCACTGATGAAATTGGTGAAAAACTAGGCTCCAGGAATTGATGGAGTACTCAATGAGGTGTTTAAACAAACAGATAAAGTGCTGGAGGTACTCAATTTTTCATGCCAAGAAATTTGAAAGACCACTATATGGCCAACCTACTGGAAGAGATCCATATCTTCACCCATTCCAAAGAAAGGTGATCCAACAAAATGTGGAAGTTATTTTATCATATAATTAATACCACACACAAGTAAAATTTTGCTGAACATAATTTTAAAATAGTTGCAGCAGTATATTAACTGGGGATTTCCAGAAATTCAGAGTGGATTCAGAAGAGGATGTGTAATGAGGGATATCATTGCTGATGTCAGATGGATCCTGGCTGAAAGCAAAGAAAACCAGAAACACGTTTACCTGTGTTTAAATGACTATGCAAAAGCATTCAACAGTGTGAATCATAACATATGGATAATATTGCAAAGAATTAGAATTCCAGGACACTTAATTGTGTTAATAAAGAACCTTTACATAGACCAAGAGGAAGTTATTCCAACAGAACAAGAGATTAATAGGTGACTTAAAATCAGGAAATGTTTGTGTCAGGGTTGTATCCTTTCACCATACATATTCAATCTGTGTTCTGAGAAAATAATATAGGAAGTTGGACTATATGAAGAAGAATGTGGCAGTAGGACTGGAGGAAGCCTCTTTAACAACCTGTAATACACAGAAGACATAACCTTGCTTGCTGAGGACTTACAGCATTTACTGATGAAAATTAAAAACTTGAAATGTATTTCAACATAAAGAAAACAAAAGTCCCCACAAGTGAACCAGTAAGTAACATCATGATAAATGGAGAAAAAAATGAAGTTGTAAAGGATTTCATTTTACTTGGATCCAAAATCAACACCTATGGAAGCAGCAGTCAAGATATCAAATGAAGTATTGCATTGGGCAAATCTGCTGCAAAAAACTTCTTTAAGATGTTAAAGAGCAAAGATGTCATTTTGAAGACTAAGGTGCCCCTGACCCAAGCTATCGTATTTTCAATAGACTCAAATGCATGTGAGAGCTGAACAATGAAAAAGGAAGACCAAAGAAGAACTGATGCATTTGAATTGTGGTGTTGGCAAAGAATATTGAATGTACCATGAACTTTTAAATGAATGAACTAATCTGCCTTGGAGGAAATACAGCCAGAATGTTCTTTAGATGCAAAAATGGCAACACTTCATCTCATTTATTTTGGGCATGTTGTCAGAAGGGACCAGTCCCTGAAGAAAGGTATCACTATGGGTAAAGTAGAGGGTCAGCTAAAATGGGGAAGACCTTCAATGAGATGGATTGACACAGT